CAGCTGCATGAAAAAAATGGGAGCTGTGCAATTGTTGGTTCAAAAGTTATGACCCGAGCCGTAAACAAGCTCAAAATGAGATCCAAAACTGACGAAGTTGCTTCAGTTGGCTTGAAAGTTTTTAAAGCTTGCTTGTAGAGCTTCCGGGATAAGCATATTCGGTTCCTCGTGAAAAGTAGGTCTAAGAACTACCTTAGATGAGCTTGCGCGACCCTTGGTTGAGCTGCAGGAGCGACTGATCGAAGCGGAAGACCCCTATTTTGAGCTGAGAACTGGGGGTCTCAGGGTTCTAAAGCGCTTATTTGGGCACAAAGGATTTCTCGCACAGCTTCGGTTAATTTTTGCGAAGTTAGATATGATTGATGGCCAGCTGCATGAAAAAGATGGGACATGTGCAATCAGTGGTTCAAAAGCTATGACCCGAGCCGTAAACAAGCTCAAAATGAGGTCCAAAACTGACGAAGTTGCTTCAGTTGGCTTGAAAGTTAACAAAGCTTGCTTGTAGAGCTTCCGGGATAAGCATATTTGGTTCCTCGTGAAAAGTAGGTCTAAGAACCACCTTAGATGAGCGTGCGCGACCCTTGGTTAAGCTGCAGGACCGACTGATCGAAGCGGAAGACCCCTATTTTGAGCTGAAAAATGGGGGTATCAGGGCTCTAAAACGCTTGTTTGAGCTTGAAGGAGTGCTCGCACAGCTCACTTTCAATTTTAGCGAAGTTAGATATGGTTCATGGTCAGCTGCATGAAAAAGATGGGAGCTGTGCAATTGTTGGTTCAAAAGTTATGACCCGAGCCGTAAACAAGCTCAAAATGAGGTCCAAAACTGACGAAGTTGCTTCAGTTGGCTTGAAAATTATTAAAGCTTGCCTGTAGAGCTTCCGGGATAAGCATATTTGGTTCCTCGTGAAAAGTAGGTCTAAGAACCACCTTAGATGAGCGTGCGCGACCCTTGGTTAAGCTGCAGGAGCGACTGATCGAAGCGGAAGACCCCTATTTTGAGCTGAAAAATGGGGGTCTCAGGGATCTTTAACGCTTGTTTAAGCTTAAAGGGGTGCTCGTACAGCTCACTTTCAATTATAGCGAAGTTAGATATGGTTAATGGTCAGCTGCATGAAAAAGATGGGAGCTGTGCAACCACTGGTTCGAAAGTTATGAGCCGAGCCGTAAACAAGCTCAAAACGAGGTCCAAAACTGACGACAAAGTTGCTTCAGTTGGCTTGAAAGTTAACAAAGCTTGCTTGTAGAGCTTCTGGGATAAGCACATTCGCTTCCTCGTAAATAATAGGTCTAAGAACCAGCTTAGATGAGCTTGCGCGACCCTTGGTTGAGCTGCAGGAGCTACTGATCGAAGCGGAAGACCCCTATTTTGAGCTGATAAATGGGGGTCTCAGGGCTCTAAAACGCTTGTTTGAGCTTGAAGGAGTGCTTGCATAGCTTCAATTCATAATTGCGAAGTTAGATATGGTTGATGATCAGCTGCATGAAAAAGATGGGAGCTGTGCGACCGGTGGTTCAAAGTTAAGACCCGAACCAAATTCCAACTCAAATGGAGGTCCAAAACTGGCGAAGTTGCTTCAGTTGGCTTTTAGGATAACAAATCTTGGTCGTAGAGCTTCAGGGTTAATTCCATTAGATTATATAGATCATTCAATTGTTTTTGTATTGTTAACATCATCAAACGAAAATGTATTGCTTAGAGCGGAAAAGAAATTTTTTTTTTTGAATTTTTCAAAATTTTTGTCGGAGTTTTTTTTGGCATCTCGTAAAACCTTCAAAAAACTCAATACGGTATTCAACTATTTTTTCAAAGTAGATCATAGACAGATGAAAGCACATGCAAAAAAGATTTGGTTTAGCTATTGTAGTCTTTGAGTTACGGAGCCTCAAACTTTCAAAATTCTGAATTTTTGCAAAAAAAACGCATTTTTTTGTCATTTTTTGACCATTTTGTTTTTCACAGGTCAATAAAAAAGAGTCAGCATCCCTGTTTTAGTTACAGCACACCACCATCAGTCCGTGAAACAAAAATGGCGCAATTTGGTCGCCTATGTTGAAATTCGGGAAGAAAAAAGCCAGTTCGGGAAAGAGATTTTGACTCGGATCGATGTGGGGAAATTGTGTAGCTCGCCAACCAGATGGATTTTTTCAACGTTCTATAGCTCGTTGGAAAGAACATCTAAAAAGCTAACGTTTGAATGAAAGAATTCATTCCAGCACTTAAAAAAAATTTCTATTTTTTCGGGCTGATTTTTATTAAAAAAACAGAAAAATTATGTTGCATTTGACTGATGCAATCAAATCAAGCCATAAAAAGAAACTGATGATTTTATTGGTTTTTTTTGGAGGTAGCAAACCAATTGTTCCAGTTGGTATCCTTTAACATCATTAAAATAAATATTTCTTGTCCTAAAGTGAAAATGAAAAAAACATTTTTTTTTGAATTTTCAGTTTTTTCGGTCGGAGTTTTTTTTGGCATCTCGTAAAACCTTCAAAAAACTAGATACGGTATTCAACTATTTTTTCAAAGTAGATCATAGACAGATGAATGCACATGCAAAAAAGATTTGGTTTAGCTATTGTAGTCTTTGAGTTACGGAGCCTCAAACTTTCAAAATTCTGATTTTTTGCAAAAAAAACGCATTTTTTTGTCATTTTTTGGCCATTTTTTATTCACAGGTCAATAAAAAAGGCTCAGGATCCCCGTTTTAGTTACCACACACCATCAGCAGTCTGTGAAACAAAAATGGCGCAATTTGGTCACCTAAGTTGAAATTCGGGAAGAAAAATGCCCGTTCGGGAAAGAGATTTTGGCTCAAAACGATGTGGGGAAACTGTGTAGCTCGGCAACCACTTGGAATTTTTTGACTTTCTATAGCTCGTTAGAAAGACCATCTAATGGGCTAACTTCTGCAAGAAAAAATTAATTGCAAAAAGCTTTTTGAAAAATCATTTTTTTTCGGGAAATCCAAAATTTTCCCGAAAACGGGACCAAAAAGTCCCCGGGTAGGCTCAAAAATGATTTTTTTGGAATAAATGTTTATGGGTATTGTAGAGCAAACCAAGACGCGTATACATGCCAATTTTCAGCCTCCTACGATGTATTTAAATTTTGGTCCTTCGGGAAACTGAGATGACCCTGTTGAGTTTAGAGCGATGGTAAACACTAGATAGATAGCAATCTGAGAAAGAAATCAAATGATCGAAATTGCGTAGGCAACTCCTTGCGGTGCTTATAGTCCCGGGTTGACCTCCATACACCGAAAAGGCTTATCATACAATTCCATACATCAAGTGTGTGGAAAAATGCTTGTCATACAATTTTCATACAATTTCTAAAAATGGTTGAAAACTAGTATAAACTTATTTCTGTGGCTTTTTGATTCTAATAAAACAGTCTGGTGATAAAAAACTGAGGTTTTCGTTTTTTGAAAAAAAAAATGCTTATCATACAATTCCCATATATGGAAATTGTATGACTGGCATTTTTTTGATGGCGAAACGAAAAATTTTTCAAGTAATTTTGAAAACTTGGCCCAAAAATTTGTTTGTTTTTTTTTTCAACCGCAAATCGAATTTCGTATGCGAACAAACATTTTTCAAAAAAATTGTTTTTTGCTTGTAAATTTAAAATTTTGTGTGCATAACGTAGTCCTGGATACGATAAAATTGGCTTTTATTTTCTTTTCACTTGAATTTTTTTTCAAAAACGATGAAAATTTCTATTTCTTTTGTATGGGGTGTTAATGTATGCCTTGATCAATGTCTGATATTTTGAAAATTCAAAAATTTAAATTAATCATCATTAAAAAATTTTGTCAAAAATTAAAAGTTTGTTACTTTTGTTATATGAATTGTGAAAGACAGCCAAAATCAGGTCGGTTTCTATGCATTGTGAATGCAAGACCGTCCAACCTTTGGTGTTTTGAGTAACCAAGGTCTTTGTAAGTTGTGTTCGGTTGCAAACACAACCGAATATTTTTCAGAAACTAAATTTAGAAAGAAAAAATCTAAATTTTTGGTTAATGGAAAAATACCTATCATTTAATTTTCATATATGGAAAAATGCGTATTATAGAGTTTTCATACAATTTTCTCTACGTATGGAATTGTATGAAATTGTACGACAAGAAAATTCTCATATATGGAAATTGTATGATAAGAAGTTTTGGTCAACCCGGGGTTCTTTTTTAAACATGATCATAACTATTAGAAAAGGGATGCATCGGGAAGTACTAATCAAATGAGGATGAACATGTTAGATAGAATTTCAATGAGACACTTAACAAAACACCTGGAACAAAACCAAAAGTTAGTCTAATCCCAGATTCAGTTCTAAGAAAGAGGGTTTAAGCAGCATGTAATTAAGGTTAAGTTCTCTATCAGAGAATTCAATACGAGACGAGACGTTAGCCTGCCCTTTAGCTGAGAACTTTGGAGAGTTAATTGAAATAAATCACTACTAACAAAAACTTTGCAATAATCTCATGTGAGCAATATCAGTCGACACATCACAAAAGAGGCCCGCAATTAATTGGAAAACAGTAGCATACAGCTATTTAATACAAGAAAGTTGTAAAGAAGATAGTACCAATGAAAAATGAAACGCGGAGCCAATCAATTGTACAGATAGCGGATCGTTTGATTAGTAACTTTTAACTTATATTCTGGCCTAAATGGAGGCCGTTGATTTTTTTGGACAATTAATTGAAATAAATTGCTGATAATGAAGACTTTGCAATCTCTAGTGAGCAATATCAGTCGACATATCACAAACAGGGGTCCGCAACTAATCAGAATACAGTAGAATACAGCTATCTAATACAACAAGGTTGTAAAGAAAATAGTACCAATGAGAAGTGGATCGCGGAGCCAATCAAGTACATAGATTGCGGATCCATTGACTAGTAATAATTAAATTCCTTTCTGACCCGTTTATTTGTCGCTGAGTCCTTTATATAATTAAATGAAATATGTCTTTATTAATGAAAACAGTGCAATCTCTAGTGACCAATATCAGTCGACACTTTACAAAATCGGCCTGCAATGTATAACAATACATAGTAAACACCAACAATGATACCTCTTCGCGAGTTTGAGTAGAGTTCAGTCTAGGAGGTCCCTTCAAACACAATAACAAAATAGATAATGCCGGCGGCGTAATTTAAGAGAGAGAGAGAAAGACGCTTATAAAGAACAAATCTAAACTTACAAGAAGCAAGATGCTCCTCTGTCAGGAGCAAATCCAAGATAAGAGATCAAATTTTGCATTTCTTTTTGTTTTAAACTAGATTTTTTTAAAAATCAGTTCAGGGTACTATGCGATAAAAACAACCGTCTGGAGAACGAACTGAGCAGTTAGCTGAATGATTTAATCTCTCTTGGGCCAGTAAATTTCTCTAAGGGATCGACTGAAAAATGATTTCCCTTACTACGCAGAAAATGCGTACTGTAACACAGCTAAACATGCTATGACTAATATAAGAACGTCGGAACGAAAAGGATTTAATAAAACAGAAGTAAAAAAGTATATCGAAAAATTCTACGATAGGATCTATAATAGGCTGGAAAAACAGCGGGAGCTACAAGAATATAGAAACGGTAATTTGCAGCAATCTCGATATGTACCTTAAACAGATCTGTGTTGTTTGAGATTCTAATTTATTTACTGTTTTTTGACCCATTTCATCTTTAGTTCTCGACATCTTTAAGTAAAATTAGTAATGTTTGTGCTCGGATTGGTTTTTTCTGTAGAACAAGCTAGCACTTTTTGACCGGCTTTTCTATATCATCAGCAGACTTCACGTCAAACAGAAAAGAACTAAGCTTAGATTAATTTTGCATTTACTGGAAGGCTGAAAAACGTCTATCTGGCAATTTGGATATTGCATGCGCGATATACTTCAAGCTAATTACGCGTGAGCACTGATCTAATCTGGCTCAAATATGTTTCAATTTGAATTGGTTTAATCCACCTGTTCTACCTAATAAGATAATATAATCTGAATTGTGTTTTAAGTTTTATGCGGAAGGATAAGTTAAGAAAAACTGATGTTTTTTTTTATTTAACTCAATTTCTTCAATTTCTTTTAATCGATCAGTACTTTATAAAATTCGTAGGTAGTGAGACAATTCAAGCTTTATTACTGATACGTGTAATTTTTATTCAGCTAGAATTGTATAATCACTGCAACGGCTATGAATTCACTGCTTTTTTCCCAATTTTAGTCAAAAGTAACGTAAAATCGGTGCTCACGTGTGGTTTTTCTCCTGGAATATTTCGACCCATCAACTAGCCATTTTGACAAAATCTTCTAATATCTTCTATGAGCTAACAATTAAGCTAAAGTTCTTAAGCAATTTGATAACTGTTTACAATTTTTGTGATTATGAGTCTATCAACCCACAAATCGTTCAGTTTTTCAACGCATAAGCAGCAAAATATTCCGGCTCAGAAAGGGTTCCATATTGAATTTGGGCTGTTTCGTTGTCTAATTTTTATGTTACTAAGGCCATATGTACATATGTACCAAATTTGCATTGATTAAAGATTAATATATCTCGACAAATTTTTGAATAACGTTCTTTTTATCAGCACTTGGGAAAAACAGGAAGCACAGGGAAACAAAGAATTCGCTAGGGCACACACATAATGAAGCTGACTGAGGACATATTGAGGTTGAGATTAGGGTGGTGATAAGCACTAGTTACCACTCTGAGAAACTTCTATGATCAAAATAGCTTCAGCGACTCTTTGCGGTGTTTATCGCTCTTTGCAGGGAAACATGATCATAACCCTTAGAAATGGGATACATCTGGAAGCACCAATTGAATGAGGATGAACTTCGTAGTTAGAATCCCCACAATTAAAAAATGTAGGAGATTGATACCTGGTGTTATCGAAAAAAGCTTTAACGGAAATTAGGGTCAATTGTTTATTCCCTTAAAATAATTGAAACTCTCTGGATTAAAACTGAAAAGTAGTCGGTTCGCCAGCCCTAGTCCTATGATATACGAATCGAGCATCATGCTTGTAATTGAGGGGAAGTATTTCTATTCGAGAGTTAGTGTGGAGACGAGAGATTGTCATGTCATTCAGTTACTGCGTTGAAGTTTTGAACCTAGAAACGGAAAACCCTTGATTCAAACTTAGTTCTGATAATTAAATTTTTATAGGCAGTTTTACCTATCTAAGAAAAGCAGTACCAAAGAACACCGACAATAGAAGGAGTTTCACGTGTGAGTTAAGTTTCCTAATAATTTGACAAGACGGGCTGTTTTTCAGCTCCTCGGAGAAGTTTTTCTGCAATAAAAAAAGACACTTAAAAGACGAACTAAGTCTCCTGAAAGGCAAAAAGTTGGGATTGAAGTAAAAAAAATACACACACTTTTTTTTATGAGGCTTAGGATAAAAAAACTACAAAAAATTCGACCTTCCGCTAGTAGGGGTAGGCCGACACATGTTACTCTAGTAGGGGTAGGCTTAATGTAACTCCATATTTAGGTGAGGTTGTAACCGTCTTTTACCGGTCTTGAAACGTTATGAGAATGGTAAAAGACCTTCCGTAGGAGGTAATGAGGTAAATTCAGGCGAACATATCTCTAACTTATTTAAAAATCAGTTTGATTAACATATGAAAATGATAACAAAGTACCTACCCTTAGGCACAGCAAATGCTCACAGAACCAGCAGATTCAGAGTTAGCTAGCAGGTTTTCAATTAGTTCCAGAACAGTTAGTACCGAGAGAGTGAATGTTTGATTTAAGTGGTTTGGGAAAACGGATTGAGATTTGTAGAGAAGATAGTACCAATAAAAAGTGGACCGCAGAGCCAATCAATTGCATAGATCACTGATCCGTGGACTACTAATTTAAAAAATTATGACAAAGCTTTGCTCCAGTTAGAGGCAGCTGATTATTTTGAATAACTAAATGAGATAAATCACTATTAGCGAAAACATTGCAATCTCTATTGAGCAATATCAGTCGAGACAGCACAAAAGGGGCCGCAATTACTTAGAATACAGTGTAACTACAAATTGAGATACCTCTTCGGGAGCTTGACTAGAGTTGAGTCCAGGAGATCCGGTCAAACACAACACCAAAAATGATAATGCCTGCGACGTAGAAAAAAAAGAGCAAAACGATTATAAAAGGAAAACTGAAATTTACAAGAAGCAAGATGCTTTACTGTCAGGGGTAATTCCAAGATACGAGACCATTATGAGCATTCTTTTCTGCTTTAAACGAAATATTTGAGAAAAAAACCAGTTCAGGGGACTATGCGACAACAACAACCATCTGGAGATCAAAGTGAGCAGTTAGCTGTATGAGTTAACCTCTCTTGTGCCAATCAGTTTTTTGAAAAATCAGCTGCAAAAAGTATTTCTATGGCTGTGCACGAACTGCATACTGTTACACAATTTATACACCCTATGATTATTATAAGGATATGGGATTTGGTTGGTTTTAAAAAGCTGAGTTAAATAGGGTAAACTTAAAACGGGTTAATTTAGGGTAAAGCTTAACGGGTAAAGTTAGCAGGAGCTACAAGATTAGAAAAAAAGGAGTCGGTAGCAATTGCTATACATAATTCAAACAGATTTGTGACGTTTCAGGTTATAGTTTACTGTTTTTCGGCGCGTTTCATGTTTTTTTTTTCTCGAAATTGCAAAGAAAAAGACGTAATGACATAATGCTTGTTCTCGGATTGGTTTTTTCTCCCAATCAAACTAGCATTTTGTGACAGTTTTTTTGTATCAACTAAAAATTGTTGCAGTCTTAAGCTCAAATTTTTCAAAAAACTAAGCTGAAATCACTTTTGCATGTTTATGAAGGTTGAAAAAAGTCTATCTGGCCTTTCGGATAATGCATAAGCGATTTACTTCGTGCTAATCGCGCGTATTTAAGCAGTGACCTAATCTGCCTGAGATATTTTCCAATTTGAGTTGCGTAAATTCAATTATTCTACATGATACGCTATTGTACACTACATTAAGTTCTAAAATACATATGCATGCGTAAGCATAAGTTAAGAAAAACTCAAAGTTTTTTCTATTTTAATAGAAGTTTCTTCAATTTTCATCAATCACTACTTCGATCACTACTTTAGTAAGCAGTTAAAATTTTCAAAGTGTGTTTCATACGCTTAAATTTTGTTGTGCTAACTTTGTGAAGTTGTTGCTGCGGCATTGTCTGATCATAAGCCAAAAACTTAGCTTACTATGCAATCAGTGTTTTCTGATCCAATTTTAGTAGAGAGTAAAATAATATCTGTGCTCATAGGGTGTTTTCCCGGAACGTTTCGACCCATTAACTAGCCATTTTAACAAAATCTTTTATTATCATCTGTGAGCTAACAGTTAAGCTTCAGTTTTCAAGCCAAATGAAAACAGTTTACAATTTTTTTTGAATTTAAGGCCAGTAAACAACAAACTGTTTTGTTCATTAACGCGTAAGCAGCAAAATATTCCAGCTCAGAAATTGTTCCATACTGACTTTGGGCTGTTTGTTATAACTTTTATAATACTTAGGCCATACGTGTCAATTTTGTTTTAATTATAGCTTTTGTGGGGAGATGATTTTAAAAAAAATTTCATGGAAAAAAATGAGTTTTTTGAGGATGTTAAAGCATTGTCGGAACATTCTGATACGGGGACTGCAGTCTGATAGGGGCAGTCTTTTATAAGAAAAAATATAAAAGTGAAACCAAATTTTTCGGATAATTTTTACGATGAGAGGTGCTTTATCTGGTCTGCAAAGAGATGTTCCGGTGCGAAACCCAATCAGAGCACGAATATTACATGATTTTCTTTGAAAAATGGTCAAAATCTGTCAAATGCTGGTGATTACTTTTCGTGAAAATATCTTTATTTGAAAAAAACAAAAATGATACGTTTCTGATTACTTAAGCGCAATATATTTCAATTTATGATGAGTAAGCGGCATTATAATCTGGCCTAACGCTTTTTCTAGTTTGAATTGATGCAAATTTCTATTCTAACTGTTAGATTATTAACCCCAGACCTATCTCTCTTGCTTTTCTATATACCGTGAGAGGAGGATGATTTCCGATTATTTCTCAAAATAAAAAATTTTCTCGTTAAAATTTTACCAATATTTTTGAAATGAACACTTTCTCATAGACGCCTGAGCGCAGTTGGAAAATTAAAAGCGTCGCCCTGATGCAAGCAGCATCTTCATCACGAAGAGAAGCAAACCACAGATCAGCTTTATACATAAGTTCTTTCTATCTTTAATTTAATTCATATTTTCTAGTAAAAACCAATGCAACACCTAAATGCATTCAAAATATGCATCTGATTTGACACTATTTTTTTTCTTTGAGGTAGGTATAAATAAACCGCTAGCCACAAAATTTAATAGAATGGTCTTTGATTGTGTTTAGTTTGCTTCAGCAGTTTTATGTGTTTGTGGTTTTTAGCGCCTGCATCTCACAGGCAAACAGTCTCAAAAAAACTATAAATGCAATTTTAATTAAAATGTTTTTGAATCTTCTGTAGAGCTGTAAATTCTGCGAGCTAGCTGCTATACCCGCAAAACACAATGGTTTTGCATACATTTTTTACACTCAAACACTCATACACTGTGTACAGTTTGATTTTACAATAAATTTTCCGTGATGAACAAATTGTTGCCATCAAAAAATTTGTGTATAATCCTCATTGATAAAAACGTACAACAGTTTTTTTTTTCATCTTTCTCTAAGTTTTTTGTTTTTTTTTTGCTTTTTTTTTGCAAGAAGTAATCCAACCAATTCTTTCAAAGAGAATGTTAGAAAACAGAACTCCATTTGAGTTTTTTATTATGAGAAATGATCTGGCCACATCTTTTTTTTTGTTGTAGTACTAACAAATTGGAAAGAACAAGCCAATCAAAACTAGATACTGCACTATTGAAAAAGATTTAGACAATTAGTTTTTCGATAATAGATAAAACCATTGAACAGACCGATTGCTATTTATATTGATTGACACCCTGCAGTACTTAGTGCAAGCATCTGTTTAACTCGATAGTATCCATTTTCATTTTTGTTCAGTTTCTCGTGATTCAAAGTCAACAAGAAAATTTAGAAAAACTAAAATTGAATTTACCTCCAATACTTTGATTTGACAGTGACAGTTTTCGGTCCATTGTAATAGATTCTCCTTGAACTTTGAAAACCAACACTGCGTCTGATCTATCAAAAGCAAATACTTCCTGAGTTTGCGAACAAAACTGAGACTGAAATAGGTATAAAAAGGTATCAGTGGTTGCACTGCCTTTGCGAATATCTCTAAGCTGCCAAGTTTTAGCCCCGATCGTCCTTGCTTTTCTGGTCAATGCTGATGAGCTGGCCGTCAACTGAGATTTTCCCGTGTTTTTGCATTGATTGAAAGTATCTATCGCTTTGTTCAAACTGTTTTCAACCGCAGTGCACGAGTTAGACAACTCTGAAATGCTTAATTTCATATGCTCAACCTTTTTTTTCTGTTCATTCAGTTCCTGTAAAGACTTTTTCTCGAATGCATGGAAATTTCCAACATTCCGTGCGTTTTGCATTTTGTGTTTCAGCTCCATCAACTTTTCGAGTTTTTCAATATTAGAGACGATTTCCTCGTTTAGATCAACAGAATTTGTCACCAATCGCTGGTAATTGTTTTGATACTGTTCAACATGTTTCCAAGATTCGTTTGATGCTGTAGTTAAGTCTTTGAGCACTGAGTTTATCGGAACAACGTGGTGCTCTACATGACTCTGGCTCCAACAATCTTCGCAAATAGCGGTCGAGCAGTTCTTGCAGTAGACTCTCTTCGCTTTTTTGTGAACACTGCAAACGTCTTGTCCAGCTTGGTTGTCTTGTACAGCACTTGATGTGCTCTGTTGTAATGCCTGAAAGTAGTAACTGCTTTTAAGAAGGTACTTGTAGGACTGCTTACTTAACCACGACGACTATAAGGTCAAAAGCCATCATTTTGAAGATGGCTTCCCAATATATAATCACTTAGCTTCGAGGTTTGAATTAATTCTGTGTCAAGGAGTAAGATCTGATAATTACACAGCTGATAATTCAGCGTGAATTGAAGTGAAAATACAATTTCCCTCGAAAAGTTCAGAAGATTTTGAAAAAAAAACTGCAAGACCATTACAATCATGGTACCATGAAACTGCAATTACTTACTTTAGATTTTACTAACCATTTTTTTGGATATTTTAAATCAGGATAGTCTATTGTTCTCTAAAAAAACTTTCCAATCAAATTGAAATAATAAATCGATGGCTTGGAAGTGTCAAATTTCCTTCTTATTAACTAGTTTTAGAAAATTACTTCAATTGCGGTTTTCAAATCGTAATTGACCGATAAGTCGTTCTCGTTTCTAATCCTGGCAGCAATCGGTTTTCGACATTTTGAACACTTTCTAGGGTCACTAGTCAGAACTATACGCAGGCAGTCTTTCGGAGTTGAACAATACGAGTGACCACAATGTAAAGCTTTTGGGTTCACAAGCGTCTCCAGACAAATACAGCATTCAAATGGATCGCTCATTTTGTCTCCTGGCTATGTCTTTTTAGTAGGAAAATGAAGCTTTTAAATTTCAGAACTTAAAGCTTAGGAGCCGAAGATTTTCGTAACGTGAGTTGAGAAACTGAAAAACTGTAAAATTATAAACCAATAGTTAAAACATGCAGTTTTCAGATAAAATCAGCTGTTTAGTTTATCTCAAAATTAAAACGCAAGTGCGGTTAAGAACAACAAAAATTTACATGTTTCTATTGAGCTCAATCATTTTTCAATAGACCAAGTTTTAAAGGCACGTGAGACTTGAAACCAAAACAAAACTATTACTAAATTAATTTTAATCTGCAAAATACTGTACTTTGTTAAGTTATTGAGCTGTTAAAACACTTTTTGAGCTCGAACTTTAAGCTCGCCACGACTTGTTAGATCATCATACGCCGCAGGTGTTCAATTGGGTCTCTTGAATACCTACACGCATCTCCTGCGCGCAAATTTCACCGCGCATCTAACCGCGTTTTCGACAGATGCTATCGGATGCATAGTGGAATCGTTACCAATTTGAGATCACAGAAATCACGTCGAATCTTCCGTTGCCTTCATCTCCTTTTCCCGTTTTAAGGGCTCCGTTTTTTCAAAGGAATTTCGCAGACAGTCTTTTTTTTTATTTTTCACGATTCTTCGTTGAACGGTCTTTTTGCTTCTTTTAAACTCTTTTCTAGTTGTTCTATACAACACTGCTAGTTTTTCCAGTTTCCCAATCTATTTTTTTAAGCAAAAGATATTAATCTAATTCCTGTGAAGAAAAAAGATTTTCATCATTTGTAGCCAGAAGGTTCTTCCGATCCTTTAAAGGAACGACTGCTACTAGCACTCTTGTTTTTCTTCTTCTCTTTTTCAGCAGAAAAATCTAATCGGAGGGCACTCTTGAGTAAAAAAATGCGTTTTGACATAAACTGGTTGCTTCTGATTTCGAAGTAAAAAATACGTTGACATAAATTGGTTGCTTGGGATTTCGAAGTTTTCTAAACATATTTTTCTCCGATAGCGTAGAGTTTTCCCGTAATTCGAATCAGCGACCCCCACCCTCCTCTTTATTTATGACCCCCGCAATGATCAAGTGAGCTACTTGACCGAAATTAAATACGGCGAAAATATACAACAGACATTACGATTTAAGAGCAAGCATCTCACGCGGAAAGACCACGCAGTCGCTTCACCAAATCAATGTCTTCAGTATAGACTCACAATGCGACCGTAACTTTGCCGGATTTATTCGACTCTATTAGACATTGGTCGACATTGATCAACATTAACGGACGCATTTTTCAATTTTTCAATTTCAATTGAAATTGAATTTCAATTTTTTTTTCAATTTTGTTCGATTCAACCGGATAACGTTCAAATTGTACCGGAGATTTGTGACTTTGTTTGCTCTTAGCAGCAAAGATTGTTCAAAATTCTCTGGTTGAGGTCCCCGATTGATGGTCACATTTTGTGACATGTCTTCAGCATGATTTATAGACAAGCGGTTATCACGCAAACGCCGTAAGCTTATGTGTCTCTAGATGTTTCAACTTGAATGATTGAGTCAAAAGATGGCTAAACTGTGTTTTGATTGATTTATTCCTTATGTGAGTAAACTAGAGTTAAATTAGTAGCAGGTAGCTCCTTCTAATCTGAAAAAATACTGAAAATATTGACAGTTTTTGAAGTTATCCTTTAAAACTAGACTTATCCTTTATCCCATTGCTAGGGGTTAGCTCCTTTATTTGTCCAGCAGAGAAAATCAACCTTTTGAATGACCAAATATTTTCACAAACCCGTATGTGTACATGTATGGGAAAAAGATGGAACAAAATTTCCTCGTGTAAATCCGAGATAAAACATTGAGGGTGCCCTGGAAGTAAAACAGCGATGTAAAGGACAGACAAGAATTAAACCATGCATGTGAAATTTCAAGTTTTAATAGACCTATTTTGACTTTTTTTCTAATTTAGTTGATGCAAGTTTTAAGTAAAACAAACTATTTTATTGAATATTTGAAGGTTTAATTTTAAAA